CAATGCCTTCTGATATTTTGACAGTGCAAAAAAGTAATTGTCCTCTTTCCTTGAAACACAAGGCTTTAGGTGCACTGGACAACAATTATCATCAATCAGTTCCTTCTCATCCTGCATCAAATATCAATACATTCTTATAAAATCACAAAACTAAGATGGTAAATCTTAGGAAGGCAACAATCTCAATCAAAATTTTCCATCATCAGAGAAAGTTATCTATGCTCCTATTAAATGATGATGACACAAAAAAGATTGTTTGCAGTTGCACGGGCATACTCAGAGTCAGACCTTTGAAATAAATATTTTATATTAATTACACATAAAATAATTCCAGTGCCAGAGCTATCACCTTGTATTCCTCACAGTTAACACAATAAAGCCCGTCATAATCAGCTCGGTAAATATCACCATTCGCAAGCACTCTTGAATAAAATTCTTTCACAATTGCTTCATGCTTACTATCTGTTGTTCTAATGAACTTGTCATAAGAAATATCTAACTGCAATCAAGCAATAACAAAAAAATATCACGAAAAATGTAAAATAAAACACATCATTCCAAATCTTTAGTGAATTGAACAAGAACAAAACATGACTAAATTCCAGGAAAAATTAAGGATTAAATTACATCTTTCCAAAGTGTCTTGTAAGATTGAGAAATGAGATTGCAATGGTCAGGAGGGGAGGAACCCAGAGCCATGGCAGCAGTTGCAATTTTCTCCCCGTGCTCATCGGTGCCGGTAATAAATATAACTTTCTTCCCCAACAGCCTCTGCCAAATGATGCGAACCTTATATTATGTAATAGGGGGAAATAAACACCAACTAACTCATATATTTGGATAAACTTCTTCCTAAACATTTGTAGAAGTATAAAATCAAAACAGAAAAAAAAAAATTCCAAAAGCTGAAGTTAGCTCATGTATAAATTAATTTGTAAAAACTCTCTCATAAAGCTAATTTTTAACTTATAGAGAAACTAATTTTAATTTAGACAAAACTTAGGTACAGTACTATGCCTCCAAAGAAAAACCATTATGCAGATATTTCTAATGAATTAGTAATCATTTACAGCATTTAATTCTAATTTCCAAACTCGACCCATGTCCGGAATTGGACCAAAGTTACCTAATTTAAACTAAAAACCATGAGGGGAGGGTAGAGAGAAGTTGACCTGGAAGCGAGCAATGGCATCGGCGGCGATGGTGGTGTAAGCGCTGCCCATATGAGGAGGGGCATTAACATAGTAGAGAGGGGTCGTGACAACATAGGGCTCGGTACTTTGGGGAGGGCCATCGGTGGTGGCGCAGGTGCAGAACAAAGCTCGTCGGTGCAATTGGGGTTTGAGCTTGAGGCGAGAAGCTCTGTAACGGAGGGAAAACAGGGGAGGGTTAAGGAGACAAAGTGTGTTTTGAATGGAGCAGTTTATTCTCACTGCCATGCTTTCTTTCTTCTTCTACCTTCAGATTCTCAGATTTCACTGGTTTGTTCACTAGTGTCCCTTTGCTGTGGCCATTTTTTTCTCAACGGATAGCATTAACATCCTCCTATTTATATGACCTTTAAATATTGAATTAGTCTTTTTTTTTTTTTTTTTTTGGTTTAATTACACTTTTAATCCTCTTAATTCAGTGTAAGAGCAATTTTGGTCCTCATAATTTAAATTACTTAATTTTGGTCTATAAATTCAAATAATAGATGATTTTAGTCCCACAAATAATTTATCATCCAAAATTTAACTGACGTTAATGATATAGATTTTATGTTAAATAAATATTAATTATATATTATTTAATTTCTTACGTGTCAAATTATTTAATATTCAACTTTTAAAAATAAAATTTTAAATATAAAAAATGAATTTGAATTTAAAATTTTTAAAATTTGAATATTAAATAATTTGACACGTAAAAAATTAAATGATATATAATTAATGTTTATTTAACATAAGATTTACATCATTAACGTCTGTTAAATTTTGGATGGTAAATTATTTGTAGGACTAAAATAGTCCATTATTTAAATTTATGGATTAAAATTAAGCAATTCAAATTATGAGGACTAAAATTACTTCTACACTAAATTAGGAGGACCAAAAGTGTAATTAAGTCTTTCTTTTTTATCAATTGTTAGAACCTAATATCATATTCATAGATAATATGTGTATATTTGGGTTTTACCTAGATAATAATAACAAATAAAACTCAATTAAATAAAAAATTTTGTATACAACTATACATAATCAAAATGAACATTAAAATAAAACACAAATGAGAAAAAGAAAAAAAAAGCTAGATATTAACGTACCTGAATTATAGAGTCAAGCAATCAAATGTACCTATTATAAAAATATAAAATAAATGTAAAATAAGGCAGTTGAATAAAATAAAAACAATGGAAGTTTTTGTTTCTATTTAACAAAATATTTTTCATAATAATTTATTTTTATTATAATACTTTTTAAGTCAATAAGTAAACAAAAATCATGTGAAGTGTTTTTAGCGACTTTTTTTTAAAAAAAAAAAGTTTGTAAAAAAAAATTAACTTCTTAAATAATTTAATTTTTATTTATCATGATTATTTATAAATTAGATATTAATATTTTAAAATAAATTATCAATAACTAAAAATAATTTTTTATAACATTAATTATTTATCCTAAATATAAAATATAATTTATATATTTAAAAATATTTATGTATACTAATTTTAAATATAATTTATATAATTAAATATAATATTTATTTATAATAATAAATTAATATAAGTAATAAAAATCATTCCACCACTTATCATAAATTTATTTCACTAAACAATTTAACATTAATAGAAAATGACTAAGTACTATATTAAATACTTTTCATTATAATATTTTGATATTATGCATGTACGATTCATCCATTTTAAGACTTAAATCCATTAACTTTCATTTAAGTTATAAACATATTAAAAGAATGTTTGTAATATTATTTAACCACTCTCATATCAATAAGTTTCGAGTCATCATGTTAATATTTTAAGATAAAATATGCTATACACTAATAATATAGTTTTTATGTTATCATCTTATTACAAATTATTATGTATGATAAAATCATTAACTTTTACTATTCATTTTAAGATCATACTCATAATAATAATGGTTTTAACTAGTTGATAATATCAATATATTTTATATTAATAACACAACCATTAATCTCATATTTTAAAAAAGTTAAATAATGTATATTAAGTAGAAAGAATGTTAACGATATTCTCTTTAATATTTTATATTTTAAACATTATTTGTGATATTAATTAAAATTTATCATAAATCACTAATTTATAAGTTATACTTCTCATTTCATATGTTTTTTCGTGATTTAGTAACCCATCTAAAATTTATGATTTTTAAATAATAAAAAAATATTAACTAGAAAACATTATTATACAAAGCATCACTTGGTAAATAGGTCAATTTTGAGTTAATAACTTTATATCTCTTCCACCTCTTTTTCTTTATCTTTTTTTTTTCTTCTTTAAACAGCAGAGAGAACATGTATACAAATACAGTGGAAAAGTAACATGGGATCACAGGAAGCAACAAGGTTAAGAAATATTTATATCTTCCATGATATAAATACTGGATAACATTCGGTCTCACTAGGAAGGTCACCAACAAAAGACAATGTCACCTAGTATGCATAATGGCTTAAAATGCATTTAATTAAAATGCCTCTATTCTATTCTCCTTTTCCACACCACAAAGCTAACAACACCATATGGTCAGCCAAAAATGGCTTTCCCTTGGAGATCTACCAAAGCCCGATACCAACCAAAAGTGTCTTTCCAAGGAGCCAGGCACAGCAATGGAAAAATCCTGCAAAATCACACCCGCCAACATATTTTGTTTCTAACACATCTTAACGACGGAAGAGGTTCCATTTCCATTACCCAACAACGTCTCATTGGACTTGAAAATACCTCCCACCCTAAGACCCCTAAATTTATTAATTTTTCAAACATCCTCCTATTTCACCCAAACAAGTTTATTATCATCATCACCACCCCTACAAGAATGGAGGATACCTCTTTTGAAATTTTAAAGAGAAAAAAAAAAAAAAAAAAAAATCACACCCGCCAACATATTTTGTTTCTAACACATCTTAACGACGGAAGAGGTTCCATTTCCATTACCCAACAACGTCTCATTGGACTTGAAAATACCTCCCACCCTAAGACCCCTAAATTTATTAATTTTTCAAACATCCTCCTATTTCACCCAAACAAGTTTATTATCATCATCACCACCCCTACAAGAATGGAGGATACCTCTTTTGAAATTTTAAAAAAAAAAAAAAAAAAAAAAAGCAAGGATAATAAGATTGAGTTAATCAAACATACTATCCCCCACAAAAGACACATGTTTATGTTTCTGAAGGACCAACCTCTTTTCAAGCTTTTTTATAATAGGTTCATAATGCATCATATATATAGTATATTTTCCATTTTATGTCTCTTTCTTTATTTCTATTTTAGTTTTACCTTCTCCACTAACCCTTTCATCCGAGAAAGAAAGAAAGAAAACTGAGACAGAGAAAAGTTAAAATTTAAACAAATATAAAAAGTTTTTTTTTTTTTCTTTTTCTCTAAACCAGTTGAAAAATATACATGTAAAATATGCATCATTTTTCAGAACTTTGTCTGTGTATACGCGAAATAAGCGTTGTTTCTTTTTCCTAGTCAACCTTGGCGGCACGAAACATGCCAGCTCACGATACCACCAGGTCGGGTCAGTTTCACTCTCTCTACGTACACACAGTCACAGAGTGAGTGAGAGATTCGGTTTTTTTTTTTTTTTTTTTTTTT